AAAGAGAGAAATCACGCCCTTCCCCAGGGGGTAAGGCCAGGCCACAATCCCTTCTTCTCCATTCTCTTGGAATTTTTGGTATGCAGGCACATAGGCCTAGCATGTTTTTTTCAAGTTGCTAGGTCCAGGACTAAAACCCATGGAGTTGGCCATGTGGGATTCAGCTGCCTTAACCACCCTGCTACCTGCTGGCCCTGCCCTGGTGTTTCTTCTATGGCGTCTTAGCAACAAATTTCTTTAGTCTTTATCTAGAAATGTCATTATTTCGCCTTAATTTTTTAAATGATTTCTTATATTTTAATTTTATTATTGTTTTAAAATTTGCTATAGGGGTCATGCACTCCAATAGAGAAACAGAGACAGAGAGAGAAAGTGAGAAAATAAGCCACAAGGTCTGGGATTCAAACCAGAGTCGGCCATGTGGGAGTCTCGTGTCTTAACCACCATGCCACTGCTAGCCTCTCATCTTAATTTTTAAATAGATTTAATCTTTCAGGGAAATTTTAAGTTGAGAGAAATACTGAGGAAAAACAAGAAATCCCTGTATTTCCCTGTATATCTCCCTGTATTTTCCCCTATTATTATTATTTTTTTATTTGGAGAGATTTTTGCTCTAGGGCACGTGCACTTGCCAGACAGACAGAGACATAGAGACAGAAAGTGAGAAATCACCCCCCAGAGGTATGGTCATGCCGCAATCCCTTCTCCTCCATTCTCCTCTCGGGATCTTGGGCATGCACGCACACGCGCCTAGCGTGAGTTTTAAGCCACCGGGTCCAGGACGGGAACCGCGGTCGACTACGTGGGAGTCCAGTGACATAGCCATTACACTAACTGCTGGTTCCCACCCTTATTATTTTTTAAACAAATTATTTCTTTAATTTTACTTATTGCTATTATTATATTTTTAAAGAATTATTTTATTTAACTTTATTTACTTTTACTTTACTAGAGAGGGACAGAGTGGACAAGAGAGAGGGAGAGAAAGCGAGAGAGCAAACCCAAGTCTAGGACTACAGCTGTGGTCGGCCATGTGGGAGTCCAGCACCTTAGCTTCCATGCCACCTGCTGACTCTGTCCCTGCTAGGGTTATATTAGTAACTACACTGTTATAATTAACAACCCAATATTGCTACTTTTTCTTTTAAGGCTTTCCCATAGGGCACTGTGCATTTGCCAGTAACAAAGACAAAGAGAGGGAAAGTGAGAAATCATCCCCCCCCACACACACACAGGGCAAATGGACATGCCACAATCTCTTCTCTATTCTCCTTCTGGGATTTTGGGTATGTGCACATATATATGTAGTATGATTTTCAAGCCACCAGGTCCAGGACTCGAACCGTGGTCAACCATGTGGGAGTCCAGAACTTTAACCACCACACCATCTGCTGACCTCT